CATGTGTACATCTCTTTACTTAGGGATCCACTGTGACTGTCTGCCGACCTAGAAAAAGCATGCATTCCTTCAGCTACTTCCGTTGATAGCACGCCCCACTAAAGAAATTTTTCAAAAAAAAAAAAAAAGTAAAAAAGGAGCACTTTAGCCCCGGACCTCAAAGTCGCGGTTTAAGCCTCAATCAAAAGCAGTCAGGCGTAGCCCTCCTCCCCTACGAAAATCACTTTCACTTACCCATCTTGGGGTAAGAGCGCTTCCAGTCCTTGGCTTTTTCCTCAGCATCCTTCGGACAACCTCAGGCAGTCTTGTGTGGAGGAAAAAAACAGATAGAAATCGGAAGGGAGAAAACAGACTCAAAATGTAGCACACCACATATTCCCCGGAGCCACCTTGGCCTACATCCTCAGGACAAGGTCCGGGTGAACCGACTGCTACAGTGGGGTAAAGGTCGGTTTGGGGGCCGAAAACTAAGAGGTGAATTAACTTCTGGTGGTTGGGGGAGGGGAGGCTCTGGAGAGGGGGTAGTGAAGGGGTAATGATTGAGATGAGAAAAAGAAAGCCTTAAAAGAGGGGAGGAGCACGCAAAAGAAAATCGAGAACAAAGTACTGTGAAAGATAGCGCCTTTGAACTCTTACAGGTAGGTAGTTCTTAGAATGCAGACGCGTGTGTGCGCGCGAAAGGAGAATCTAGATGACCCCCATCCTTTCCATGTCTCCAGGATCTGGCTTCAAGTGGAAGGAAAAAAAAAAAAAAGACAGGAGAATTTTAATTCAAGTTTCACCTACCCCGTTTGTTGGAATGGCTGAGCAGATTTTCATGTTGGAGAGTTCCATCTGTCTGGCAGAAGCTGGAGTGGTGTTGGGGGCAGGTTATCTGGTGAAGTAGGAATGTACAGGAACCCCGCCCTCTAGGCACAGTTACACAACCCCAGCAACCCGTCTCAGCCAGCTCTAATGATCTTCACCTTCACCCTTTGTTAGCCTATTTCTCCAACTGGCATTTAGTCCTAAACACAACCAGCCACTTTAGCTATTCATAAAATTAATTTCCCCAAAGCAAAATTACTTCCATACATTCAAATTCCTCAATAATGCTGTAGAAAATACACTTTAAAAAATATATTTACAGTTCTAAATATATTTGATTTATCCACCTACTTGGGTGAAATATCCACCAACTTAAATATATTATTAATCAATATACTACAAGACTCATTGTTTTGTACCTCTCTATCCTTAATTTTATGCAAGTCATAAAAACCAAATGAAATCTTCCATGATCATATTTGTATTAAATCTTGTTAGTTCTGGACTTTGTTCACTTGGTTTTCAATTCTGTAACAAGCTGAAGAAACATAGTTGGAAGAATCCTTTCACTGCTCTATTTTAATTAAATCACTTTCTCAAAGTTTTATATTAATAATTTGTATTAACTTTATACCAAATTCAAGTAAAGTATTTTAAACCTGGAATAAACCATAATTTGGGGTTTCAGTTTAAGTCATGATCACTTTCAGTTCCAAAATCTCAAAAAGAGCAACCTTCATCTCATTAAAAAGTTATAAGTATGAAAGAAGAAAAGCTTCAAAAAGTTTTGAAGTATTTTTTTGGCATAAGCTAATTTTAACTGGCAAAGATTAGTGACAACATATATCAACACAACATTACAACCAATTTGTTGCAAAAAAAAAAAAATCTATTAAATGCCATGCTAGACTGTCGTGTGTTTTTGAAGAAGATAATTTAAGGGGTGATAGGACAGATCGAGATAAATAAAATGTTCATATTGGGTTGCTAGAGGCCTGCACAAAGTTCTTTCTCTGTTTATACCCCTTTGTACCTAATATACCTATTAAACAAGCTATTTTTACTTCTAATTACATGCGTTATGTATGTACCTTGGACATGTATCCGAGTAGGATTTCCACTCCAGTCCTTAGTTCCTATGAATTTAAAGAAGTAAATTTTACTCTTGACCTCAAAGTATGACATTTGCCACTGAAATTCTATTTCTTGATCATGTAAATAAATCCTTATCACAAATAAATATAGCTATTTAATATGGCCAGAAAAAATACTCAATGGGGAAAATTTTCTTCTGTATCTATGTTCCTTTATCTCAATATGAGTTCAACTTTCCTTTCAACTTCTGATAGGCAAAAAACTATATTTCTTCTGTGCCAGTACATTCTCATTCCACAAATAAAATCTATGGTAAAAGCAAACAATACATCACCTTTTTCAGTCAAAACATGCATTTCTTTGAGCTGTTTGGTTTCACACATGTGTAGAGGGGATCTCCTTTGCCTACCCTCAGCCACTTGGATTCTATCACTATTTTTAATATCAGCCATAAATTCGGCTTCTAAACCAATTTATTTGTGGCATTTTCTTTCACGCTTCATTCTGAAAAACTGTTAAATTTCATGAAACTTCGACCTTTGGTGAAACCGCTCTCATGTGAAGAAAATAAAATAATGCTAAGTCTGCTTAAAGGAAATAATTAAACTAGCTGTCTTAGTCTATTTTGGTCTATTTCCTATTTGTGTATATTTGGTTCCAAGTCTTTTAAATTTCCTTTATCTTTCTTTCTTAGATCTCTCTCTCTCTCTCTCTGTCTCTCTCTCTCTCTCTGTTCAAAGATCCTTTTTCTTTTCCTCTCCTTCTCTTCTATCTCTCCATTCACAAGCCACCCATCCCCATATTTCAATATTAACTATTTTCTATTTCTATTTCAAATCTATCTGAGTCACCTTGCTTCTCTCCTAGGCTTTCCCCCCACCTCAGCAACTCTCTAAGTGTTTGCCGATAACATCTTGGAGACAGATTATTTTTCATTGGGCCCATTGTAAGAAGTAGCCAGCTTATTGCATTACTGCAGAACACATTTCAGACTATACAATTGTAACAAATGAACAACTTGTCCTCCACGGACTCACCACAGGATCCAATTAGTTACTAAACCTTTTACTTAGGTTTTCTAATTATTTTCTGGAGTCATAGCAATTGGGCTGCTGAAACAATTAAAAATGTTTTCATTTTGTTTTAGATTTATATATATGCATATATATGCATGTATATGTATATTGCAAGTTAAAATTATGACTGTAAGCGAGAGAAACAAATCCCTAGATTATACATACATATATAAAAGGGAATCGAATACCTCTAAATTGTAAAAATGAAAATGAGAGAGGCATTTTACTTCTTCCGAACATCTAGAATTTTAAATTGTTATAATTTAAAAATAAAATAAAAACATTGATCTGCAAGTCATTACAACAGGTGATCACTTCAGCAAAATCTATATTGCAACTTCAGCACATCTTTATTAGAACTCTTTCATTGTGGGTAAACAGCCACAAAAATAAATGCTGACTTAGAAAGTATAAATACAAATATTTAAACAAAAATATTTGCAGCATTCATAGTGCAAATTGTACCTGAACTGAAGGGCTCTGTGTGTCTATATATATTACACATGAGTGCATTATATTCGCTTCTATCTAACCATATACATATATTTATAATTTTCCAAGTGCTATAAACGAGATACCTGAAACAAAATATATAAAAAGCATTCTATTAACTGATTTGAAAATAATCATAAGGTAAATAGCTATGCACATAAAATTATCTTTTTGCTGTATATCTACAGAAACTTAAAGACATCAGCTGAAAAGCCTATGCTTTGTTTAAAGCTAGTGTTTATTAAATAGCCTGCTCCTTGTAAAATTTGATTCCACAATGGAAGAAAATAGGATTTTCATTTTTAAAGTCTCAATTCAAATGAAAGGAGCAGTTTAAATTTTAGTGGGCTGAAAAAGCCTTTGAGTTCCCTGGAACTTTAATGGTCTTTTAAAAATTAGCTCTACTTAATAAAAGAGACAAAGGTATCAAGATATATATGAATTTAGCCTATTTTTTATTTCTGTGTGTTCATAGTAAACATTTTTGTAAGTGACAAACACGGGCATATGACCACAGTATCACAATCAAGAAATTTTAAGACAACATTAACAATCACTCAAATTTATGCGGCATTTGCGCAACACAGGTTACATATTTGCAAGGTTTACCTATAAGTACAATAGGTATTAACATTTCACTACATTTAGAAAAAATAAAAGTGACCTGTTAGTGACCACATACATCAAAATATACACAACACAAACTGAAGGCAATCATTAATTTTGTCCCCTTCCAATTCATTTGAATGGGCAGTGCTGCCAACTGAAACAACTTTCCTTTTTTTGCTTGTTTGTTTTTTTAATACTTAGTATACCAAGTGCATTTTCCTAGAACCCAATCTTTGGTCTAAAAGTAAACAAAAGAAAAAAAAACAGTTTTTTAAAGAAAAGGACAAAACAATAAATGGCCAAAATAATTCCTTGGGCACCTTTACTACGAATGCTTCTTAAATACAAATTACAGTTTAACATTTAAAAACTCTCCCCATAATTTAGGTTGTTCTCAAGGTCTGCGTCCACCATCTAGATCCATGATAACTTATAATACTGCACACATGGAAATCTGGTGGCTCTTAGAGATAGACTTGTCAGGTTTGAATGAAATGGTAAAGCAGTCACTATTTAGATACACATTCTACTATAATTTTGACTTCCAAACCTCATATTCTACAATGTATTCTCCCCACATTGCACCTCGCTGACACTCCACACCTTGTTAGAATAATAAACAACCCTAAAGACTGAACAAACGTACAGAAATGAGGGGGGGGGGCTTAATAAAAAATACCTGGACTTATTTTTTTAATTATCATTTACAATGCAAATGTGTGTAAAACGTTCACTTACAGTCTGGTCCCAGGGATGTTAATGTATTAAAGGGTTGGAAGAAGACCCCTGATTTTGATGTGTGAAATAATCAGACAGTCCCCCGGACAGTCCCGTCGTGAAACTTGGCAAAGAGGGTCTTAAAGACTCACAGGGCAGGGTCGAGGGGGCCTGCGGAGACGTGGAGGACGACGCGGCCCGGGCGCTCATGGACGTGCTGCTCTGCGAAGTCATTGACGGGTGCGGGACATGGGGGAAAAAGTAACTGGTCTGGCCCGCAAGCAGGTTGACCGAGCAGGGGTTGAGCGAGTAGGTCCCGGAGCAGGGCACCGACAGGCCGCAGGGCACCGAGGCCGCGAGCGCGGCGGCCGTGAGGTGGTGCGTGGCGTACGGGATCTCCCCGTTGACCAGCCGGTCCACGCTCAGGCCGTTGGCCGTGGAGAAGGAGTGGTTGTTGCCCAGCGAGTTCTGAGTCAACACGGAGCTGTAGGGCATGGGGTGGCTGGGGTAGGCCGACGTGGTGCCGTTGTAACTCAAAGTGCTGCTGGCGCGGGGGTGGTGCAGGGACAGGAAGGGCGACATGGGCCAGTAGAGGGAGCCGGCGCGGTCCATGAAGGTGAGGCCGGTGGAGGTGAGGCGCGCCCCGCGCTTGAAGGCCAGCTTGGCCCGCGACGTGGTGGAGCGGCGCCGCAGCTTGCCCGTGGTGCCGCCGATGAACACGTCGTCGCTCGACGGGTCCAGCATCCAGTAGTTGCCCTTGCCCGGGTCGTCGTAGTGGCGCGGCACCTTCACGAAGCACTTGTTGAGGGACAGGTTGTGGCGGATGGAGTTCTGCCAGCCCTGCTTGTTCTCGCGGTAGTAGGGGAAGTTCTTCATGATGAACTCGTAGATGCCGTTGAGCGTGAGCCGCTTCTCGGGGCTCTGCCGGATGGCCATCATGATGAGCGCGTTGTAGCTGAACGGCGGCTTCTCGTACTTGCCGTTCTTCTTCTCGCCCTCCTTGCCCCCCTCCCCGTCCTTGCCGCCCTCGCCCGCCCCCTTCTTCTCCTCCCCCCCGGCGCCGGCGCCCTTTCTTTCTCGT